GTTGGTAGTGCCAGATTTCCTTCCAGGGAGGTGGTGAGTGCCACTTTAAGCTCGCATCGGCAAGATGATTGCCCCTTTACTCCCACCTTTGGTGGCAGACCTTTGGAAACTTCAAATATACTATTCCCAGTGTTTTTAATTTGCACTTTCTAGAATCTTCAGGGTATTAGAGACTCAGAACCTTTGCTCCTTTCTCTTTTCCTTTTTTCCTTTGTTCTCCGCATATTGGCACTGCCTGTATACGGAGGAATTTTCTAGGTTCTGGAGTAATATGGATGAATCACACGTGATTCTTGTTCTCTAAGAACTCCTAGGGTAGATACCTAAGCGAGGTCATGACATGAGGTGCCAAATCACACTCGGCAGGGCCCTCCTGGCCCCGGACCAAGCCTTGCATCTGGGTCACTGCTGAAACCCAGTGCTGGAGGGGTGGGCTTTTTCCAGCTGAGGGCTCAGCTACCTGTTGACTCAGGAGGGGTGGGTAGAACACAAGGACTTGTAGGTGGGTGACAGCATCACCTGGCTGAGCAAGGAAGGGCAAGTAGTGGTGGTGGCTCAGGAGATACTGGAGGTCTTCTTGATGGCAAAGGACAGGTTGTGGTAGAGACAATTAATGGTGACCCCAAACATATTCTTCCCTGCCCATGTACCCTCTATTTATAGCTGGGCACATCTCCCAGCCTCCCCTGTATCTTGGTTGTGACTCAGTTGTAGCCAATGGGATGTATGTTAGAAGTGGCAAGGGATGGGCTGTGCCTGTGGCTCAAAGGAGTAGGGCGCCAGCGCCATATGCTGGAGGTGGTGGGTTCAAACCCAGCTCCAGCCAAAAACTGCAAAAAAAAAAGACCCAGGAAGGGTCCTTAACAGGCAGCAGCGTGCCCTCCTTTTCTCCTTCCTCCACCTTCCAGCTGCGGGAGGATTGGTGTGATGGGTGGAGTATGAGCAGCTCTCTTGGCCTATGAGGAGGGAGGAGAAAGCTATTGAGGATGCCCAGTAGCAAGACAGATATAGCTCAGGGTCCTGACATCATAAAGCCCTGGACTGCCTGCCTCTGCACTTATTTTAGGTGAGAGAAACAAAACCTTCTCTCATTTTAGGTCATCATTATCGTCTATTCTATTTGGACACACACAGCTGGACTCAATCCTAACTGGGGCACTGTTGTAGAGTGGCTGGAGGGGGGAGCAGTAGCAAGTGGGGCGGGTTGATGTGGCAGTTTGAGGGGTCTGACATGAGGGGTTAACATGAGCCAGAATGAAGACAAGGTCCGAGTGTAGGCCTGGGTGTGGGCACAGATGTGGAGTGGATCAGAGGCTCACTGGGGAGAAGACAGTAGAAGATTCTAGAGGCTGCAAGAAGGACCCTGACAGCCCCCTGGAGTGGAGAAGAGGCTGAGAACCTCTTCAGGGGAGTGGGAGAGGGGGGCATTTGGTAGATTCCAGGGCTGAGGAGGGCATAGCCTGGCTTGGTCCCCAAAAGAGGCAGCCTTATGCTGGGCAAGGGGAAAGTCTCAGTAAGAAAGGAACAGGGCCAGAAGACCCTAGTGTGTGCTTGTCCCATGGCTTCCATGAACATGGCCAAGCTGTGGGGCCATCTCTATGAAAGTTGAGGGTACTGGGTGGTTTGTTCATGGGGGGCTCCAGGAGGACATAGAGTGAGGGACGGTGGGGTGCGAGGGACATAGGAGAAGCAGTTGTAGGAATAAGCATTTAGGTGCTGGGAGGAGGCTGGGGTCAACCCCTAGCCCTTCTGAGATGGACGTCTGGGCAGACCTGAATGGGTCTGGGAGGCCCCTGCCATCAGGGAACTTTTGGGATTACATATCAAGTTGCCTCAGAGAGAAGCTGAAGTCCTCTGGGACAGCCCCAGGTTCTAATTCCAATGCTGTCACATTCTGGTAGGGTGATGGCTAAGCCTCAGTTTCCCTGCCTGCAAGAGACCAAGGATGGGGCTCGGCGCCTGTGGCTCAAGTGGCTAAGGCTCCAGTCACATACACCTAAGGTGGCAGGTTCGAATCCCCAGCCCGGGCCCACCAAACAACGATGGCTGGAATCACCAAAAAAAAAGGGCCGGGTGTTGTGGCGGGTGCCTGTAGTCCCAGCTACTTGGGAGGCTGAGGTAGGAGACTCGCTTGAGCCCAGGAGTTGGAGGTTGCTGTGAGCTGTGATGCCATGGCACTCTACCCAGGGGGATAGCTTGAGGCTCCGTCTAAAAAAAAAAAAAAAAAAGACCAAGGATGGAGCAGACTCAGCCTTACAGAGTCTTGAAGTATGAGGAGCTTGGCTTGGGACTGAATGGCAGCCTGAGCTGAGCACGTGAGGACAGCCAAAGGTACAGGCTGAGAGACAAAGGCAGGGCCAGCTCCTGCAGGACTTCTGGGCCAACATTGAAAGTTTGGGTTTATTATAAATGCACTGGAAACCACTGGAAAGTGCATTGAGATGGCCTGATCTGGGCTTGAGAAAGAACGTTCCAGCTACTGAATGGAGAACAGACTGGAGGGTTAGGAGCTGAACAGGGAGACCAGGATGGTGGCTGCTGTGGGCCTGGCTGGGCATGAGATGACCAAGCTCAGGGGCTGAGGAAAGCAGGTGCACTGCCCTGCACACACTGCAGGCTTCTGCCTGGCCTCCCACCCACCTTCCTCTGCAGGTTTCCTATCCACCCCAGGTGCCTGGGGTGAAGCCCACCTGCCGACTGTTATCAGAGCCCCCAGCAACACAGAGGTTTATCTTTCACCCTGTTACATCCTGGTGTAGATTTTCTGAGGGTGGCTGTGAGAGTCTGTCCTTTAGCTTTGCTGGATTCTGGCAGGGGAGAGGAGAGAGGAAGAGGAGGAAGAGGTGGGGGAGAGGGAAGGAATGAGAGGGAGAAAAGAGGAACAAAGGTGCGTTTTTTTCTAGGCTTAAAGTAGAATAAATCACTTCTCCCACAGTGGTGGGGGGCGTCTAACAGCAAGAGCAGCTGGGATGTGGAGTCCAGTGGACGGCAGGAGGAAAGGGGGCAGCCATCCACGATGTGCTCCCTCCTGTGAACTTGCACAGTGGGAGATGCTCTGTAGAGGAGGCAAAGACTACAGACATTTAAACTCTCCCCCCTCTGAATAGCCCCCACGCTGCCTTTCTGCCTAAGGAGTCCTGGGCTGGGCCCTTTGGCAAATGCAGGATCCCCTCCCCCACCCCTGGGTTGGGGGACATGGTGGGGGCTGCCCCTCCACCACCTCCTCTCCTTGCTTCATCAGCCTCAGCTGCTGCACATCTAAGAGTGATGCTGGAGGCCCAGCTCCCTCCTGTGGTCCTTCCTGCTGGCCTGTGTGCTGCATAAAGATGGGCCTGCGCTGTCTTCCTCCCCCTCCCCTGACCTGGCCTGGCCTTTGGAGTATCTAGGATGATCATTAAATGTTTGTGGAATGAATGAAAGAAGGTAAGAAGGAGGGAGGAGGAGGAAGAGTCTGGGGCTGATGCCATCCCATGCAGGAGACTGGCTGAACATGGCTGCTGGGTACAAGCTAGGGCCATGATTTCTGACTCTGCCTGGGGATGCCTTTTCCCCCTTACATGGCTGTGCTTTTAACGTTTTAACTGAATTCCTTTACTTGGGGGTAGGAAATACCTTCACAAGGTACAAAAGGGTCTGCAGAGAAAAGCTTTCTTCCTGCCCCTTCTTCACCTGTCTGTCTTCCCTGGGAGAACCAGCATTCCTGGCTTCTAGAGAAGCTTCTAAATACATGTATTCTCTGCTTAATAAATCTTGAGTGTTATTCTCATCATTGTGGCTGTGTTACTGTGTTTCTTACCCTCTCCTGCAGCCAGAGAGGCTTTCTCTAGGGGAGAAGGGAAGGGGGACGGGGGAAGAACTGGCTTTTATTTTGAGCCTGCTATGTGTGGTCAGGTCCTAAATTGGGAGAGGTAGGGGTCAAGCTGCTTCTCCTGGGCTCTGAGGCTGGAACTACAGGGTCCATGGGCCTGTGACACTGCACATAAATAGACTTAGCTAAAGAGCCGTTCATAACTTTCCATCCGTCAAAAAAAAAAAAAGAGAGAGAGAGAGAGAGAAGGTCAGGCATAGCAGCTCACACTTGTAATCCTAGCACTCTAGGAGGCTGAGGCAGGAGGATCACTTGAGCTCAGGAGTTCAAGACCAGCCTGAGCAAGAATGAGACCCTCTCTCTACCAAAAATAGAAAAGCTAACCAGGCTTTGTGGTGGGTGCCTATAGTCCCAGCTATTCAGGAGGCTGAGGCAAGGGAATTGTTCAAGCTCAAGAGTTTGAGGTTGCTGTGAGCTGTGATACCATGGCACTCTACCTGTGGCACAGAATGAGGCTCTGTCTAAATAAATAAAACAAAGAACCCCAAGCTGAACCTTCCATCCACTCCCTCACCTCTGCTCCCCCCCCCAAAAAAAAAGAGGGAAAAGGGTTAGGAATCATGACTTCGGAGGAAAAGGAAAGTTCTAGATTATTCAATCAGTGGCTATCAACTTGTTCTAGAAGCCCTGATAGTCGCCTCTGAATGCTGAACTGAATAAGGGGCTTCCTGCTAGGCTGAGTGAAAAGGGAATCTCTCAGAGATGGTGTGTCATGCCTGGGAGGGGGTGAGGCACGCTGGGGACTGGCCTGGGTGTTAGGGGGGTGTGACTAGGTGAAGATGTTGGTGGTGGGGAGGGGGCTGAGTGAGTGGAGTGTGGGTGGTATAGGAAGGGAGTAAGAGCTTAGGCCCTTTGGACTCCTGTGTGCAGCTAGGCCCCTGTTTGAGGACTGGGTGTGTGTATGTGTGCACCACCGCCCCCAGCGTAGGAGGCAGATCTTTATCCGGCCCCTGGGTGCTTTAGGAGTTTCAGGCTTTCTCACCTCCCCACCTCCCCAGCCTAGGCCTTGCCCCTCTTATCTTCTCTACAGGAAGTGGGCAGGCCCTGGGGTTTTAGTCTGCCGGCCCAGCAGCTACCTGGGCTAGAGCTGAGTAGGGCCCTGGGGAGATGGCCGTGGTCACAGCAGCAGAGAGGACTGGAGAGACCACACTGCCGAGGCAGCCCTATGTCTCAGACAGGTGACTTCCCCCTCCGCCCCCACCCTGCTAGGGACCCTTGCCTTTCTTCTGGCTCTTGTGGACCAGCCAGGAAGCCTGGGAGTGAAGGTCAAGGGACAACTTCCAGCTCTGACTCAATTCCCCCAGCAGTTTCTGCCTGAACTCCCATCCCCCAACCTCTAAAAGAATTCTTAGAATTCCCAGGGATGGGGTGGGCCCCCCTGTCTCTGGGTGGGAGGAATTCTGCCACCCCTCCTTCCCAGGCTACCCTTCCCCCAGGCTACCCTTTCTTCCCAGCCCGCCCTGGGGAAGGCTGGGGCTACTGTGGGACAAGAGCTTCCCTGGGGCCTGTGTACTGGGTCCCCAACCCTGAGGAGTAGAGGAGTGAGAGGAAGGGTTGGGTGTCCAGAGAGGGTGGGAGATATGGAGGAGAGAGTCGGGAGCCGTCTCCCGCTACCCTCTATGGCACAGGGCCAGGCTGGGGGCACCCCTGTACAGACCTCTCCTTATGAGGATTGTGGGTCAAAGGAGAGAGGTCCCCTTTGTGAACTGGCTTTGAGGTGAGCGTGCTGGGCAGTCTTGGGCTGGAGGCCAGAGCCTGATGTTTCAGTCTGGATTGTCCCTTCCTTGGCTATGTGACTAGACAGGTCAGCAGCGTCTCTTGGCTTTGGGGATGGGATGCCATCTCAGAGGCTGCCTGGACCTCATGCCATCTCCTCTCTCGGGACCAAGACCTCCCGCTCTTGACTCTGTAGCACCTCGAGGGTGGAGTGAGGGGCTGAGCTATTCCCAAGGGTTCTCTTGCTTCCTCCCCAGCCAGGGTCCCATACCTAGCTGGGGAGATAGATGTGCTGGAGTTGACAGCAAGAGTTGAGCCAGGCGGGGCAGTGAGGATAAGGGGAGATGGGAGATGGGACCTTTCCAGTTCAGAGGTCAAGCTGGACATACGAAGGTACTGAGCTCCTGCTTTCCCGCCCTGCCCCAGCCCCTATACCTCCCACAAACCAGCAGGGTGCTCGGACTGTACCTTACTGGATTCAAATCCCAGCTCTCTTCCTGTCCAGCCTGGGAAAGAGGCTGACCTGTGCCTCAGTCTCCTCTGATAAAGGGAATAGAACCTCCTGACCGGGGAGTCGTGAGGAGTAAATGCCTTAATATCCCTAAAGTGCTCAGGCTGGCACCGGACACAGAGAGACCTGTCACTGTCAGCCGCTTCCAGGTTGAAGTCAGATGATCCAGGTTGGAGCGTCCCTGAGCTTTGCTTCTGGCCTTGATCAAATGGGATGAGGAGACCCACCTTGCAGGGCTTTGGTGGGGACACAATGAGCCCATGGGTGTGACTGGTTTTATAGCCATGAAGGGCTGGGTGTGGTGAGAACCCAGGAGGGAGGGTGCTCTGGCTCAGAGGTCCTGGACTTCACTTGCTGACACCTGAGGCTGGGACTCTCCTTTGCTGTGTGACCCTGAGCAGGTTCCTTAACTTCCATGAGACTCAGTTTCCTATTTGCAGAGTGAGGGTACAGCCTCACCGGTTATCAGGAGCCCCCCAGCTCTGCCCTCCCCTGACTCTGCCCTCTCTGTACACCTCTGCACGCCTTTGGCTTTGGGTGGCAGGAGTGGACACTAGGTGGTGCTTTCTCCTGCCTGCTCATCTCTTTGCTGGGTCCTGTGTTTTGGCTGTAACCTTCCTTCGACTTTGTACCCCTGTGTCCCCACCCTCCTCCCCTACCCCTGTAGCTCTCTGCTAGGTCCTGTGCTTGACATGGAGTCATCCTGACGGCCAGGCCTGACCTGGGGCAACATCCTCACAAAGGATGAACAGCACCCGGGCCCCAGGGCTGGGCTTATGCGGCTGGGCATGTAAGAAGCATAGGAGGGCCTTATGGGAGTCCCCTTGTCAGGCTGTGTTCTCTGAGGTCCCAACCCTATGCCCTGTGCTACTGGATCCAAAGAAAGAGATAACCAGCCCCCACCCTAGGGAGTCACCCTCCTGTGGGGATGGCAGCCCAGGCAAAGGTGAGCCCACAGGTGCCTTTCCGGGCTCCTCCCATCCCCAGGACAAGCGCCTTCCAGGCAGCTGATGCCCTGTGGGGCTCCGACTCCTCAGGACAGGGAAGCTGCCACCCTGCCTCTGAGACCAATGTCAAGGCAGGCTGGAACAGTGTGAGAGAGCCGGCCTGGGCTGGAACCCCAGCTGTGCCACTGACTGTGTATGCGACCCTGGGTGAGTTAGTGACTTGAAGCCTCAGTTTCCACATCTGTGGGTAGTAAAAGCACCCACCCTGGGCTGCCGGGCAGATTAGATAAGCTGGTGTGTGTGAAGCACCTGGCCTGGGGCTTGGCACAGAGTAAGGGCTCAGGGCACACAGTGAGTATTGGTACTCAGTCATGAGTACCTGTCTACTGTCGCGTGAACTATAGTGGGAAGCTGTGTTTGAGGAGTGGCAGGGCAGGGCCCCTGCCCGGACTCAGGTCTGGTCTGCCTGTTATTAGCTGTATCATCTTGGGCGATGTGCTTTACCTCTTGGTGCCTCAGTTTCCTCATTGAAAATGGAGAAAAGAGTATGCCCACCTGGTTCTCTTCCTGCTGCATTCAGAGGTTTTAAATAGAGGATGGTATATAGTGACCTGTTAGTGGATGACGAAGGGGACAGCAGGGTAAAGTGGAGGTGGGCTCTAATTCCAGCTCTGTGCCGGGTTCCCTCTTTCTGGTTTTGGCAACTGTAGAACAGGGGGTTGGCTTGCTCAGAGAGCCCTTCCAGCTCTGACAATGCAAGGGTCCTTAACTCTCATTCTTGTGACACCTGTCTTGAGAGATGGCTGCAAGGCTCTCAGGCCAGGGGGCTGGCTCTGATGTCAGCCATGAGAAGGCCCAGAGCCGCCAAACAGCCCTGCTTTGTTTGCAGTACTGGAGGCCTCTGACTACATTTATTCATTCAATGGCATTGATTGAGCACCCACTGTATGCTGGGCCCTATACTCAGTCATCTGTGGAGCAAGCACGTTGCCCAGCCAAGGCCAGCCTGCTGCTGCTGTCCATAGGAAGGAACAGGGGCTCAGAGGAGGAGACTCTCACCCTCCACTGGGGAACCCAGGGAGAGTTTCATAGAGAAAGAAAAGAGGGGGAGTTTCAAATGGGCCTTGAAAGATGGCAGGAACAGGTAGGGGATAAGAAGGGAGATGGACTTGGGAGGCCACTGGCTTATATGGGCAGATGGACGTGTTGTGGGTGTGTTCACTTGGGCCATGCACCTACGCTGTGAGAACAAAGCCTGGGAGGACTGGCCCATCCAGCCTGGTCCCAGAGAAGTCTTGAAAGCAGGGATTTAGGCTTTGGTTATAGACGGGCTGCTGTAGGTTTCTTGGCAAGGGCAGGGAGCTTTGGGAAATGCAGCCAAGTGTCTGCAGAGAAGGCCATGCCATCGCCCAGGAGGGATGGCACTGGGCTGGCCTGGGAGGGTGGAGAGGAAGAGACAGCAAGTTGTCATCTGGTGTCCTGTCTTTAGGGCATCCTGGCTGCCTGGGTGTGGGGGCAAAGGGAATAGAGCAAAGACACTGGGATGATGAGAGTGAAATTGTCCCAGACCCAAGAGTCTCGTGAGAGGAGAGCTGGGCTTTCACTACCACAGGCCATCGGGGGAGGTGGAGGCTCAGGGAGGCACTGAGCTGGAGAAAGGCCTTTGGGAGCTGAGGGCTGGAGCTAGTAAGAGACTCAGAGGGAGACAGGAAGGGGAGAGAGAGCCCTGGTAGGGGAGCCGTGGGTAGGGGGAGAAGAGGGGGACAAGGCTCAGGGGGCTTGGCCACATTTGGAATCAAAGCGCAGGGGATGGGAAGGACACTCTGCCTCCTCAGCACCTCTAGACTCACCTGCTCCTCCCTCTGCCCCCCCAGCTAGGGCCACCATCGCTGCTTTCTGGAAGTCTCTTCTCATCTCCCAGCCTCCCCAGCCCATTCTCCTGACAGAGGTCCCAGGTCCCATTATCTTCCCCAGTGACCAATTGTTCACTTTCCCTATCCCCTTCCCCTGCAGAGGGGAGGCAGTTGCACTTGACTGCTCGGTTTCCAGCAGACAGGTCAGTGGCTGAGCAGGTGTTTCCATGGCGTGGCTAGAAGACCACTGAGAATAGTCTCTGGCGGAGACATCACTAGTCACTTGGCCTCCCTGAAGCCCACTTGGCGGGAGAATAGTGCCTTCACTGAAGTGGGGAGGTGGTGGACCCTGCCACCAGGGGCGTTGGTGGCAGACATTCTTGACTATAGCAGATCTTGGAAAATAGGGACAGGATAATAACTGGGCTGAGGGTTATAAAAACACCCTCCAGGGCCTGTGTTTAATAGACCCAGGGAATCCTTCTCAGCCTCATTCTGTGAGGGCTGGGTTAGGAATTTCATAGGCCCACATTACAAACACTCCATCTTGAACATGGGCGCCCTCTGACCTCCAGAGGCACCGGGGTCCCCTTCCTTCTAGGCAGTAAGCTTCCAGAGCCACCCAAAGTACTTCAGTGTTGAAGCCAGAGCTCCCAACTGCTTTGCAGCACAGCTTTCCAAGTTCACATCTTGTTACCTTCAAATAATTCCTTCCACTTTTTCAAGAGAGTGTGATGAGCAGAGAGAGAGGGCAGCCTAGGAGGAGCTGTCTGGAAGGCCCTCCGGCCGGCTGCCTTCAGCTCTGTCCGTATTTATTCGGTCATCTGTTCATTCAGTATTTTGTTGTTGTTGCATGCTTCCCATGTGCCAGACACCGTTCTAGGAATGTGTGTGACGAGAGAGAACAGACGGATAAATAAACAAATAGCGCTGTGATGAAAAAATAAAAGTATTGTTTAGAAGTGGTAACAAAGGGTAGCTTTTCTTTTCTTTCTTTCTTTTGAGACAGAGTCCCACTCTGTCACTCAGGCTAGAGTGCTGTGGTATCAGCTTAGTTCACTGCAAACTCAAATTCCTGGGGCCAAGTGATCCTCCTGCCTCAGCTTTCTGAGTAGCTGGGACTACAGGCACCCACCATGACAGCCTGCTGATTTTTCTATTTTTAGTGGAGATGGGGTCTCACTCTTGCTCAGGCTGGTCTAGAACTCCTGAGCGCAGGCAATCCACCTGCCTCAGCCTCCCAGAGTGCAAGGATTCCAGGTGTGAGCCACTGCGCCCCACCAAAGGGTGCCTCTTTAATAGTCTCATTCAGGAAGACCTCCATAGAGAGGTGACATTTGAGTAGAAACTTGAAGGAAGGGAGTGTAGGGCAGTGGGGCAGTGGAGTGTGTACTCACCTGTGCGCTCTCCATGCCTCCTTCCCCAGGGCTCCCTTCCCCAGCTCCACCCTGTGGCTGTGATGGCGGACCCTGCCCTGTCCAGGTATCTGTCCCTCCTCCTCCTGTCCCTGGCTATCTGTTGGACGTCTGCAGCAGTGAAAGGTGAGGACCCTGGCATCTGGACAGCTGTGCTTTCCCTTGGCAGAAGAGGCCAAGCTTTGTACAATCCCTTCAAAGGCCCTGCTTGGCAGGTCCCTGAGCAGGGCAAGAGGCAGGAGAGGAGGGGAGGGCAACGGGGCCAGAACTCAGGCATCCACCTCCTGCCTCGTCCTCTTGCAGATAAGGGATGCCAGGAGCAGGGGTAATGGGCATGTTATGGAGGGCCGGGGGGCACCCCGCAGCCAGCCACTAACACCTCACTTTGCCTGCAGACACTTCCCAGCTCACGTGCTTCTACAACTCGAGAGCCAACATCTCCTGCACCTGGAGCCCAGATGGGGGTCTGCAGGGCACATCCTGTGAAATCCAAGCCAAGTCCATCCAACGGTGAGTGTGGTCCGCGGCCACACTGCAGAATCTTAGGACAGTAGGATCTCGCCGTCACTGACTCTTAGACCCAAGCAATCCTAAATACTAGACCCCAAGGATCTGACGTATGGAACCTTGAACTAAGGGGACCCACCGACTTGTAGAATCACAGGAGTTGGAGACCACATCTAGAACTGAGCCATTGTTTTAAGGAATATGGGAGTCAGATATTTAGACTCTTGGACCTGGGTGGGGCCCAGACTGCAGTGGGGATGAGCTGGACAAGGTGGTTTGGGGACACTGGGCTGTAAGCCTGGTACACCAAGGCTGGACTCCACTCTGTAGAGACAGGGAAGAAAAGGGCTCCTTGGCTTTTTGAGTGAGCTGAGAGTTTGAGAGACCCACAGGCAACTGTGGGGATAGGGGTCTGGGTGGTGTTTGGGGCACTGGGTGTTGCAAGGAACTGGTGTGGCTCTGGGGAGGATCTGTACCCAAGCAGGTTGGTGGGAGGAAAGGAGAAGGGCCCCTCCACCAGGCAGGCTCTCTGGGGTATGGGGGGAGCAGGGATGGAGGGAAAGGGCAGAGGTGGGTCTGGGCCCTTGGCTGGGTGCTAACTGCATGGGCTCCCAAGGCCAAATTAAGGGCTTGTCTTCACTTGAAGCCGTGGAGCTTTAGGGCAAGTGTGGAAGACTTTAGGGCAGGGAGCATCACAGGCCTTGAACTGGGTTGTGTTTCTAGATCATTCTGGCTGCCCCAAGGCCAGGCTGGGATGACGGAGGGCGTACTGCAGAGCAGGTGGAGGCTTGCCATAGAGACACCCCCACCCCAGCCCAGCCTTGCTGCCTGGGCCACCTTAAAGCAGAAAGGGCCCCTGAGGACTGGTCCCTTAGGACCAGCTCTATGGGTCCCTCCTTTTCTTCTCAAGAGTTTTTTTTTTTTTTTGCCTTGAAAGGTCGGAGAGAACATCATCCTGTAATCTGCTCCAAGAGACACAGACATCCTGGGCCTGTAACTTGATCTTTGGAGAACCAGAAGTAAGTAGCCCTTCAGGGAGGGAGGAACAGCGGCGTCCTACCAGCACCAGGCTGCATCTCTGGGTGGGCTGGATGCCAGGGGAAAAGCTAGGGCCCTGAAGTCCTTCCTATAGCAGCTGCCTGGGGTTAAGAGGTGGAGAGAGGCTGAGGCAGTGCCTGTGGGTGCCAGTTTGGGCCTGACCTCTGGGCAAGGGATCCTGTTGTGAGGCACTCGCCATTCTGCCTCTGCCTCCAATGTCACCCCCATGCTTTGTGGGTCCTGAGACACCATATATGCCTTGTCAGGTAGGGGGAACACCCGGGAACAATGACAGCCCCCACACCTGACTCTTCCCGAGGTCTTGGAGGGCAGGGCAGTGTGGGGTTAAGAGTGGAGATCATGGACATTCCAGCCCTGGTTCCGCTTTATGCCTGTGATGCTGGGCAAACCCTGCCGGTTTCTCCTTCTGCAAAGTGGGAAAAATAATAGTGCCTACTTTCCTGGGTCATTCTGAGGGCTAAAGGACTTAAAATGCCATCTAGAACAGAGCCTGCCATTGGCGCTGTTGTCACTGGGTCCCCACAACCCTGCAGGTGGGCACAGAACTGCCTCCTTCTTACCTGTGAAGAAACTGAGGCCCAGAGAGGTGTGACCCTTGGTCAAGTTTACACAGCCAGGGAGTAGCAGAGCTGGGACTGAACCCAGGCCTGTGGCCCAGCCTCAGTTTTTCACCAGTGCACTAGGCTGCCTCTTGCAGGGTACATGGTCATGTCTACATGGATGTGCATCAAATTACTGTCATCAAACCCTCCTGGGCAGCAGCAGGGATGCTCAGACCTTTTCCAACCATCATCAAGTTATGTGTATTCTCAAAGGGTAGGAGAATGGGAAGATGGGGACACACAGCGTAGCTGATGGAAGCAAGGCCACTAGAAGCAGGCTGTGCCATCCAGGAAGCTTTGCGGGTGGCCTAGCTTCCCATCCTGGCTCTACTATCTTCTGGCTGTGTGACCTCAGGCAAGTCCCTAGGCCTCTCTGTGCTTCAGTTTCCTCGGATAGAGGCTGAGAGTAGTAATGGGGCCCATGCCTGTTGGGGTTGAGAGGGTTAAATGAGACAATGTCAAGGCATTATTGGCAACAGCTTTACAACAATAGTAATAATAATGATAATACTATTGTTCTCTGGGGAAGCCTGGTCAGAGTGGCAGCTGTGAGAAGGTTGGGGCAGGGTCCTTTGGGTGGAGAGGGAGGACTATTTCCTGGCTGAGCAGTTCAAGAAACTCTGATGATCAAGTTCAAGGTGTACTCATAGTAGGTCTTATGTAGGTCAGAGAGATGGTACCCAGGGTGCTGGACCTGAAACCACCACTTGGAGCCCAGATCCTATCCAGGGCCTGCTCTAGAGCTGCCCCCTGAAAACAGGGTCGCCACCGGCACAGTGGGAGGCTGCCCCGAGCTGCTCACTCTGCAGCCCTTGGTCAGGAATGACAGGCCTGTTGCTCTGTGGGGCTGTAGACGTGAATGGCCCAGGTTCAAACTGGTCCTGCTGACCAGTGAGTGACATTGGGCAATCCCTTGACCAGCCTGAGCCCTGGGCTTCTCACCCCACTGTGGGATGGACTGCTGTGTTCATCAGCGAAATTAGTGGTACCTGAGCGAGGACTGGCCCCAGGACACACCCAATACCTGGGCATTTCCTTCCAGAAAATCAGGTGTGAGGGTGGGGAGAGCTGAGGAGAAGAGCCTTTCACACTTGAGGATATTAAAGAGTACAGTTCCAGACCTGCACCTTTGGGGGGCTCACCTGCTTACATCCCTCTAGGGATGGGAACTTCCTTCCTCCCAAGGCAGCTCCCTTCACTTTATTTATTTATTTATTTATTTATGACAGAGTCACACTTTGTCACCCTTGGTAGAGTGCTGTGGCATCACAGCTCATAGCAATCTCCAGCTCTTGGGCTTAAGCAATTCTTTTGCCTCAGCCTTCCAAGTAGCTGAGACTACAGGTGCCCACCTCAATGCCTGGGTACTGTTTTGCTGCAGTTGTCATTGTTGTTTGGCAGGCCCAGGCTGGATTTGAACCTGCCAGCTCCAGTGTATGTGGATGGCACCCTAGCCGCTGAGCTACAGGCGCCAAGCCTCCCTTCACTTTAGATCAGGATTGGTGAAATAGTATGGCTCATGGGCCAAATCCTGCCCACTGTCTGTGTTTATAAATAAAGTTTTATTGCAACACAGCCACACTATTCATTTACATGTTGTCTGTGGCTGCTTCATACTACAATGATGGGATTGAGTGGCTGTGACAGAGGACACATGGCCTGCAAATAGTCACTATTTACAGAGAACATTTGCTGTCCTTGCATTGTATGGTGGTGGCATGTAGGGGCTCTTGTCCTTCCCTGTCCTCACCAGTGGCTGCCCCCAGCTGCTGGCAGCTTCATCCTTGCCCTCCTGTCCCTGCAGTCTCAGAAGCTGACCTCATCTGACATCGTTAACCTGAAGGTGATATGCCATGAAAGGATGGTGATGAGCAAGGACTTCAAGCCCTTTGATAACCGTGAGTGAGGAAGTCAGGGTGGGCTGGGGCAGGGCTGCCTTTGCCTCTGGGATCCTCTGTGCTCTGGTCTCTCTCTCTACCAACTTCCATACTCACATCTGATCAGCTCACTGCCCGCTTCCCTGGGGATGAAGTCTTGGCTTCTTACCCTGGAATTCAAGGCCACTTAGACTCCAGCCCTGGCCCCCGTACCTGGCACTCCTCTTCTTCCCATCCAGCTCCCCACATTCACCTTGCCTATCCATGCCTTGGAGCCCTTTCACATACTGGTCCCACTGCCTGAAAGGTTCTTTTCACCTGGAAAGTTCTCACCCTTCAAGGCTCAGTGAAGAGTCATCTCTTCTAGGAGACCTTCCTAGACCACCCCAGATCTTTGTACCTCTTCTTTCAGGGAATTCAAGTCCTAGGTTGTCACTTTCTGATTGTAGGTCTATCTCCTTCACTGGGTTGTGAGCTCTTGAAGGCAGAGTGTCTGCCATCCATGGGTTTCCTTTCTGAGCAAACAACACTAGATCTGATCAGGAAAATGCTCTAGGAAGGTTTGTTGAATGACTGAGTGCCTCCCCCCACCTTTGGATCTTAGGGGACATCTCTAGGCTAGGGAAGAGGCAGGAGAGAAAGTGAGATCCAGGCAGGGTTCTAAATGTAGCCTGCCTCAACTGGACGTGATCTGACTGCTAGGCCATTTAACATATCTGAGCCTCAGTTTCCTCATTTGCTGAATAGGGATAATTGGAGTCACCTACTGCACAGGCTTGTTGTAAGGCATCTCTGAGCCCAGGCTCAGAAACTGCTTAGTGTGTAGTCAGTACTCATACACATTCACTTACTATTTGTGTGGCTTTACAGAGCCTCAGAATTAGAGAGACTTGGATCAATTTACCTTCAGAATCATAAAGTGTTATAATCATCACATTTAAAATAAAAGTCATGGGCAGCACCTGTGGCTCAGTGGGTAGGGTGCTGGCCCCATATACTGAGGGTGGCGCGTTCAAACCCAGCCCCGGCCAAATTGCAACAAAAAAATAGCCGAGCATTGTGGTGGGTGCCTGTAGTCCTAGCTACTCAGGAGGCTGAGGCAAGAGAATCACCTGAGCCCAGGAGTTGGAGGTTGCATGAACTGTATGACGCCTCTCTACTGAGGGCAATAAAGTGAGACTCTGTCTCTACAAAAATAAAAAAATAAAAATAAATAAAAGAAAAGTCACAATCCATATAAAACTCTTAGGTCAATTCTAAGTTCAGAGGAAGGCTGCTCTAATTCATTCATTCAGCAGATACTAGATCAAGTACCAGGTAATGTTCCAGGCACCAACACAGGGCAGACGGCAACGTCTCTGTCCTCATTGAGCTCACAGTCTGGTGGGGGAGACAAAAAAATAAATCCAAACCATGTGTTTTAATATGTCAGGTGGTGAAAAGTGCTGAGAAGAAAAATAAAACAGGCGAGGGGTTTAGAGAGTGTTGAGTGGGCAGGGAGGTCTCTTCTGAACAGATGAGGTTTGAGCAGAGCCCTGGATGAAAAGGGGGAGTGGGCCCTGAGGCGGGGGGTACGTGGGTAGAGCACACGGGAGAAGGAAGGGCAGGTGCCAACGTGGAGGTGGATCATTGTGAACCGGTCACCTCTCCCTTCTTCTGTCCCAGTTCGCCTGATGGCTCCAGCGTCTCTCAAAGTCGTCCGTGTGGGGACCCACAGTTGCAACATAACCTGGGCCATCTCCCAGATCTCCCACTACATTGAAAGCAAGTTGGAATTTGAGGTCCGGACACGGTCTCCAGACGCCAGCTGGGAGGTGAGTATGTGGCACAGTCCTCACCTGCCCTGATTCTTCCTTCTTGTGCTGGCCTGGGTCCTGTCCTGTCTTGTCCATCCTCATCTCAGAGAGGCACGTCAGCCCCAGGTGGACAGTGGGTGCTGAGTCTGCCCTGCTCTTTCTGTACTGCTCTCCACATGCCCCCTGCTAACCCTGGGGATCCAGCTGGTGGCAGATTCCAGGCTGACACCGGGGGCAACTTCCTTTCTGGGAAGCTACCCCTCCCCACTTCCCATCCAGTGTGCTCCACGTTCATGGGCGTCCATTGCTAATTCATTCACTTACTCATTCCTTTATTCGCTCCATGGTTCATGCAAGAGGGACTTGCTGAGCACCTACTATGTGCTACATGATAGGGAGGGAGTGGAGGGTGAGACTGACAAGCATCCTACTCTTGGGAAACTCACACTTGGGGTCACGCAGCAGCAGACACATCCACAGGAGACTGTGGGATGCTGATAAGTTCCATCAAGAGTATGAGATGGGATAAGGTATTCGAGAGTGACCAGGCCAGGCTACTTCAGACTCGGGGGCAGGCGAGCCAGGGGAGGCTTCTCTGAAATCAGGGCATCAAGAAGGAGCTGACTCTGCAAAGATCTAGGGAGGGCTTTCCAAACAGAGAGCCCAGGCACTGCAAAGGCTGCAGGCTTGCGAGGTGGCACCAGCTCAGACCTGGGGTCAGGAGGGGAGGACAGAAGGCGAGGGGTCCAGAATAGTTCCAGAGCTGGAACCAGCTGATCGGCAGACAGCTTGGGATGTGGGGAATGAGTGAGGGGGGAAGGGTTCAGGACAACCCCAGGGGTCAGGGAGAATTGGGTAGGAAGGAAGGAGGGGGTGTGGCCAGTGCAGAGTGTAGATCAATGGGGGTGCTGCTTTGCTTAGCCACCCAGACTGGCCATTGGAGGTGAGGAGGGCAGTGGGGACCTACCTGCCCTGACAGCCCTGTCTCTACCCCAGGAGGCCCCCCTGCTGGCCCTTAAGCAGAAGCAGCAGTGGATCTGCCTCGAGACACTCACCCCAGACACCCACTATGAGCTTCAGGTGCGGGTCAGGCGCCAGCCAGATGACCAGCACCAGGTGGAGCTGTGGAGCCCCTGGAGCCAGCCTGTGGATTTTAGGACAAAGCCTGCAGGTACTAGTGAGCAGCATGGGTGGGGAGGGGCTTGTGCAGGAGTGGGTGCCCTGGGTGTGACTCTGTGACTCGGGAGCCACTGGGGTGGGGGAAGCGTTACCCTGTCCCTCCCTTCTGGAGAGTGCACCTCCATCCTCTCTCTTTAGTTCCTGGGACCTTGCAGAGGCCCCCTTTACAGATGGGAACAGGGGCTCAGTGAGGGGATAGGACTTGCCCATGGCCTCGTGAGTTACGGGAGTTGGGCAGAAAGGCTCTTTTCACTTTTTTCCACCCTGAAACCTCAAACTCCTGGTTTCTGCCAGGGCTGGGGGTGGCTGCTTTCGCCTCTCAGCCTCATCTGTGAAATGGGTACCGTGACACCAGGGCAGGGCTGCTGTGATGAAGACATGATGCAGCAGATGTGCTGGGTGGCCTGTCCCTCGTCACACTGCAGTTTGAGTCCCAGCTCAAGCGAGCCCTGGGGTTCTCTATGTGGTGCACAGAGGAAGAGGCATGGCTGGGTGAAGCCCAGGCTGCCAGGTGGGCCACTGGAATTGTCTGCAGCCTGAAGAGCTATTAGAATGCCACTGTTCATGTCATTTTAGCATCAAATCTGGCTTCCCAGAGAACCCAGGCAGAACCTAAGCAGAACCCAGGCACACACCTGTCTGGCAGGGCTCTGATAACGGGCAGGGCATGGCTCCAGGCTGGGGCACAGGGTGCTGAGTGACCCGGGATGAGGGGGGACACTTCTCTAACTCTCTCCTTGCTCCTCCTCCCACCCCTGGGCAGCCCCCGGGAAGGAGACCCCGCCCTTCCCTTGGATCCGCCACATCATTGGGAGCCTCATCAGTACCATGTGCTTCATCGTCTTAGTCTGCTTGCTGGTCAACTGCAAGGCCATCGGGCCCTGGTAAGAGAGTTCTTTCCTCCTTCCCAGCTTGCGTCTCTACCCAGCACCTGTCCTCTGCCATGGAACCAGCCATAGGGGAGTGGGTGGGGGAGCCCCCAGGGCCCTGGGTTGAGCACTACCCTCAGAACTCAGGGGTGTGCCCATGTACACATCAGCTGTCTTTGTCTATGGTTCCTCATGGGTCCATCTAGGTCTGGACATTCATTCATTCATTCCTTTATTTTCTGAGTGCCAGCCCCGTGCCAGGCATAGCATACAGTGCTGGGAACACAGAGGCAAGCCATAGGCATGTGGAGGGCACAGCCCAGTGGGGAAGGGCAGATACTTATTTATTAAGCACACTTGTCTGTAGAGGCAAGGCTGTGATTAGGCTGTGAAGGACAGCACCAGTGTCCTGTTGTCCCTCAGTATCCACAGGGCCTGGGTGGGTTCCAGGACCGCCTGAGGATACCAAAAGCCAGTGAGTCCCTGACACAAAATGGTGTAGTATTTGCACATACCCAATGCACATCCTTCCATACACTTCAAATCATCTCTAGTTTGTTTATAACACCTAATCCAATGTAAATGCTATATAAATAGTTGTTATACTGTAGTTTTCAAATTTGTAAAAATATTTTATTGTTGTATTGCTATTTTGGTTTTTTTATTTTCTGAGTTCAGTGGAACCTCTGACCACCTCCCTACATTGACCACCTCCTTAAGTTGACCTAATTTTCGTAGAATGGACATGCACCACATGTACACATCAGTACAGCGGGCCTAGTGACCACCTCTGTGTGTTGACCCATTTGTTACAGTCCCTTGGGTGGTCAACTTACAGAGGTTCTCCTGTATTTTCCATCTAAGGTGGGTTGAATCCATGGATGCATACTCACAGATATGGAGAACTGACTGGATTAGAAGCAGACAACAGGGAGAGGAGCCTTAGATTGGGGGTGCCCAAGGGTACTTTTCCTGAGGAAGTGATGATTTTCTTGAAATATGAAGGAAGAGCTCACCAGGTGGGGTGGAGGGGACAGTGTGGACACCCCAGGCAGGGGAACAGAATGCGCAAAGGGCCTGGGCATAAAGGAGGGAGGAACATTCCAGGAGCAGAATGCCGGAGGCTGGTGTGGCCAGAGACCAGAAGGCGTTGTGGGATAGACATGTGGGCAGCAGTCAGGCTTTCCGGGGCCTCAAGGCCGTGGTGAGACTTGGAGCTGTGTGCGAGGCAGCCATGGGGGGCTTTCCACAGGAGTGGGATGTGGTCGGCTTTGTTGGCTGTAGCTCGAGCTGTCCTGTGGAGAGTGGGTGAGGAAGTAACGCCTGTACCCAGGGGACACTGGTTCTCTCAGGAGGGGAGACAGCCCTTTACAGTTTGGAAAGTGGGCCCACTTGTATCATCTCCCTTGACTCCACAGCACTGGGAAGGCAGTGAGTCAGGGGCTGCCATTCCCTTTAACTGGTGCCAGGATGGGCGATGGGCCAGAGGAGTCGGCTGACCTGTCCAAGGTCAACTCCTTGAGAGCAAGGACTAGCCAATACTAGTGAGGCTGGGCCAGGAGTGCAACTCTTCTGCCCCGGTCCTGGTGTGGGGTTGTGAGCAATACTCAGAGCCCTGTTTTCCCCTTTTCTTCCAAGAAGACAGGCATTTCTCTATCCACTCACAGCGTCCCCCAGCGCCATGCAGGCCTTCAAGGGAGCCTGTCTGAATGCTCCTGTTCCCAGACAGGGAGAGAGATTCTGTCACCTGCAACACTGTCATCCTCGCTCCCTGTCACTCCCCTGTTTAACGCTCTTCAGAGGCTGCCCCCTGCACCTGAAATATACCCAATAATATACTCATTATTTGGAACAAATCAGAAAATGGTATCCCTGTCTTTAGGCAGATGCATATAGCTCCTGGGCACCCAACATGGCACTCACCATCTGTACCCCAGAAAGCCAAATGACCTTGAGCAGTGCACAACCTAAACCACCATCCACGGCTGTTATAACTAGGTCTTTCTGCTACTTCCCACCTCCTGCTTCACGCTGCTCCAGCCATCCCTGGCTGCTCTAGCTGTGTGGTCCCCCTGTACGCTGCTTCACACACTGATCCCCACCTCCTGGTCTTATGCAGCCCTCTGCTCTCTGTCTCAGCAGAATGAGTGATAATGCGGCACCCTGGCTTTCTGTCTGTCTTCCCAGCAGAATGTCAACTCCTTGAGAGCAAGGACCTTCTCTATTGGCCATTCTTGCGTCCAGTGCCCAGCACAGCACCCTCCCGTAGTGGCACTCGACCAATATTGGCTGCGTAAACGTGTGAAATGTGCCATGGCTCGATGCCCTGCCCTCAGAGCTGTGGGGATGACAGCAGGGTCCTGTGGCCCGTCCTGTTCTCATCCTCCTCCTTCTCTCCTCTCCCTTGTTCAGGCTGAAGAAGTTTCTGAAGTGTCACATCCCAGACCCCTCGGAGTTCTTTTCCCAGCTGAGCTCAGAGCATGGAGGAGATTTCCAGGTAGGAGGCGAGGGCTGGAGGACAGCAGTGGCAGCAGTGGGACTGGAGTGGGAGGTGGTGTGTGAGTAGGCAGTTTTGCACTTTGTGAGAGGAGACAAAACGCTGAAGCAGCTTCGTGGATGGCCTGGGCCCTTTCCCCAGCTCTGGAAGCTTCTACCTGAACCAGACTGCCTGGCAGCTAATCCCAGTTCCACTATTTTCTGGCTCTCTGACTTCAGGGGTTATAGAACTCTCTGTGCCTCAGTTGCCTCATCTATAAATGGGGAGGAAAACTGCTATTACCTGTGTTTCCCTGGGAGCTTTGCCTGGCACATACTAAGAGCTCAAGGGACCCTTGCTGGAACCACGCACCAGTCTGCTGACCCAGCAGGGCTGCCTGTGCAGACGGGTTCTGGAGGGTCAGTGCTTCCCTAACCTCTGCCCAAAATTCCAGGGCACAGATACTAACAAGTTCTCTAGCCACTTCAAGTCACGCAACACTGATTCATTTGAAAGGTGCAGGCGCCTGGAGTAGTAACACTCCAAGCTCCACTTTGAGTTACTGTCTCCCCTCCCCCAGCCCACACCTGCTCCAGGCAGGAAGCATTAAGAGGGAAGGGCAGGGCAGTGGGGGGCTGCTTCTACCACCCTGACCCCACTCTAGGCTCCTAAGATTGAGAGAGAGCAGAGGGATGTCAGGAGCAGAGGGGCTGGAAGGCCATGCCAGGACAGAGGCATCAGGTGCCAACTTTGCAATTCCCCAACGGGACTAATCAGTGGCCCCTTCAAGAATTCTTTGGAAAATTCCTAAGACTAAGGATCTCTTCCTGGTAGTACTCTTGATATGGGGGGAGGTATATACTTAAAATCCTTCTATTAGCGATGAAGGCAGTGAGGTCCCCATCAATAATGGTATCCAAGCAAGCCTTGGCTGACCATGTGCTGGAAACCTGGCAGAAGGGATTCTGTCACTGGAACTAGTTGGAAGCTGGACCAGGTACATCATCAGATGTCTTCTATGGGCCTAGTCCAATTTGAGGTGGGGATGGGGTCCTTTCTGCAGAGCCAGAAGCCATTCCATCTCTCTAAGAGGTCATCCTGGGTCTAGATGCTTGCCCCAAGCCTGGTGTGAGGAGGGTGTCCCAGGGAAGCCCTGGGAGGCTCCATGTGTCTGGGGCTTGAAGCTGGCCTAGAGAGGGCCATCTTCTTGCACCTGGGACCCCAGTTCCAAGGCCATAGAGCCTGCCACCCTGACCAAGGGACGCAAGTGTGTGCGTGCTAGTGTGAGAGTGTGGTGAATGGGCCCCAGTTTCTCCTGGGCCCCAGTCCAGGCCCTGTGGGCAGAAGCTCAAGCCCAGGAAGTGGCTGACCACATGCAGCCCTGAGGGAGTCCAGTGAGCCCCTGGGCACCAGCGCTGGCCACAGACCTGGCCTCTCCCTATTCTTTCTGCATGCTCTGCCTGCCATCAGGTGGTGCCCTCTGCCCCCTGCTCCAGTATTGCAACCATGCTTCCCCTCTCTCCCTAGCTGGCTAGCAGTCCTTCTGCCATCATCCGTGTGCCCTTTCTGTCTCTTTCTTGGCCCATTCTTTTGTATCATGACTCCTACTTTGGGATGGGGAGGCAGATTTCAGGGAGCTGTGTGTGCATGTGTGTGTGAGACAGCGGCTTAGACCCAGGAACTCACCCTGGACAGGGAACCAGGGTGTTTCTCTGCCGGTCCACCAATTTTTCTGAAATACACTTACTGGGCCCTGATCAGAGAGCCAGCAGGCCTGGTCCTCATGCTGAGGGGCCACAGACTCACACAGTCACTCTTAGACCATTCCTGGCCATGTTCTCTGAGCTGGCAACAGGTGCGTGGAGGGTACAGTCAGGGAGGGCTTCCTGGAGGGGGAAGCTCTGGGCTAATTGCTGGAGGAGGAAGAGGAGTTAGAAATTTTGTTGAATATGAAGGGGATCCCCTCTAACCCCTGGCCTTTATCCCTGCAGAAGTGGCTCTCGTCACCCTTCCCCTCATCCTCCTTCAGCCCTGGCGGCCCAGCGCCTGAGATCTCCCCACTGGAAGTGCTGGAGAGGGACACCAAGGCTGCCCAGCTGCTGCTGCTGCAGCAGGAGAAGATGGCCTCGCCCTCACCCTCCACCAGTGGCCACTCGCTCACCAGCTGCTTCACCAACCAGGGCTACTTCTTCTTCCACCTCCCGGATGCCTTGGAGATCGAGGCCTGCCAGGTGTACTTTACTTATGATCCTTGCACAGAGGAGGAACCCGAGGACGCTGGGCCTGGGGTGCCCACAGGGCCTCCCCTCCCGCCCCTGCATCCTTGGTCAGGGGATGGTGATGCCTACTGTACCTTCCCTCCTGGGGAGGACCTGCTGCTCTTCTCCCCCAGTCTCCTCAGTGGTCCCAGACCCCCAAATACTGCCCTCGGGGGCAGTGGGGCTAATGAAGAGAGGCCGCCCCCCTCCCTGCAGGCGGGAGCCCCTGGACACTGGGATCTTCAGCCCCCGAGGCTTCCTACCCCAAGAGCTCCTGACCTGGTGGATTTCCAATCCTCTCCGGAGCTGGCGCTGGGAGAGGCTGGGGAGGAGGTCCTTGCTCCTGGCCCTGGAGAGGGGGCAAGTTTCCCCTGGGCCAGCCCTCCTGGGGAAGGCCAGGGCAGGGCCCTTATCTCTTCCCTGAGCCCCATCACTGATGCTTACCTGTCCCTCCAAGAACTCCAGGATCAGGACCCCGCTCACTTGGTGTAGACAGATGGCCAAGGGTGGGAGGCAGGAAACTGCCTGCTGCTACCCCAGGCCTGAAGGGGGCCCAATTGAGGTCTCTGTTCTCAAGACTTGTCCATTGCTGAGGGAACTTGGTGTCCAGCTCCCTCCTGGACATCTCCACCCAGATGGCCCTCCAGCCCTGCACACTTGGCCTATCTACTTCCAAACAACTGCTGCTCTCTGGTCCTGCTGCCCAAGCCAGGAATTGTGGGGTGGGGGTTGCGATGAAGTTGACACCCCAATTCCCCCTTTAATCTCCAAGTCCCCTGTACTTTGTCTTTGGGGCCTTGATCCGCCAGCCCCGTGTTGATGTGCAGACCTGGGCCCTTGTGGCTCCCCAGGGGTCTTTGCCTTGATCTCTTCCCTGGGTTCCCTGCTCCAGCCTCACCCTATCCCCCCACGCTGCACAGGGCAGCCAGAGTACGCTTTCCACAACACAAACATGGCCTGCTCTCCCCTGTTCAGAGCCCTGTCATGGCTCCCCACCACCCTCAGCGTCACTTCTTGGTTTGGTACTTGCCTCTCCAGCATCATGGCAGCAGGCTGGGACATACCTTTCTGGAACCCTCACAACAGTCCACCTGAGCCACCTGGAGCTCCCTCGTGCTCCCACACTTTTGCTTGTGCTGTTCCCTAGGCCTCGTGTGCCCTGTCCCTTATCTAGGTGATCAGCTTCCTTTATCCTCAGGTGCCAGTTCTGCTTCCCTTGGAGGGGAGCGCTGCCCAAACTTCTGGTGTCAGTACTAGAAGGAGGAACTCCCAGGGCCCCAGGGTGGCTGGAGAGAAAGGCCCTGTCACGTGTCCCCTGGGATCTCTAGGACCTCAGAATGCTTGTCTGCTGCATCCTTAAGGTTGTGACTCAAGTATGGACATAAATCTCCCATCAAGTGGACACCTGCTGGAGCTTTTCCACAGTGGCCTCACAGACTCATAAAGGAAGTTGCTGAAAAGCAAACGCTGGAGTCCGAGCAGCCCAGGCAGCAGCCCCTCCCAGTGGCGGGTTCTGATGCTGCCAAGGGGAACCCATGCTTGGGCCCCTCCCGCTGCATCCTCCACAGAAGGGTCTCCTCTGCAGCCCAGGGGCTGGCACAGTGGCCTCCAGGAGGGCAGTTCCACTGGGCAGCACCGTATAGTATTCCTTGGATGAATTAATGAACTCTCTGGCACCACATTTCCTGGGCTTGCTGCCCTGGGCTGCCTTCATGGAGAGACAGAGCTGCTGCATGCCTGGTTCTGCAACAGGCTCATCTCCTTACCTTGTAGTTCTCCTCTCTCACACAGCTGGTTCTTTCCTTCTCATGCTCCCACTACCTCCCCCCCACAACTTCTCTTTCCTCTGTCCCTGCACTGATCACACTGTGATGCCACTGTGACAGCTGTGCCAACCTCCTGCCTCAGGAAGACATGGACCCTGCCCCAGCAAACTCTGACCTGGGGGTGCTCAGTGCCTTATAGGTACTGCTTACAGCTTATTGGGCACTTGAGCACAAGTCCACCGACAGGCTGACCAGCATCCTATGAGGTGGCTTGGCACAAAGCTCTGTCCAATTGGTAAGGCCAGACCTGGGCTAGCCAATCAGATCACCTCTCAGTCTTGGGCAGCTGAACTCAAGAAACAGGTGCATGAAGACAAGGAAAAGGTAGGCGGGAGCTGAGCCTCCTGAACAAGGGAGCCTGGGCTCCCAGTAGAGTAAAACTCCTGTGCTGAGGGGCTACTGACCACTTGTCAGGATTTCTGTTCCCTTTATGTCCCAAACAAACCCTCCTTGTTTGTGGTTGTCTGCATCTTGGGTCCTTACTGTGGAAAGAGCTTCATTACCTGGCAGCCTCACCCTCTGCCATCTGATGCTGTATCTTCCAGGCCATAGTGCTCCTCAGTCCTCAGTGTCTTCATCCAAAAAATACCATTTGCCTGCTTCACTTTGAAGAGTTCTTGGGGGGGAGGGTTACATTTGTCAAGTCTTGGTCACTTATGACATACATACATATATTTGTACCTTGATGATCTGCGTGTGCCATCTTTGTTATTTCTTTCTTTTTTTTTTTTTTTGTAACTGTCTCGCTATGTTGCCCTGGGAGAGTGCTGTGGCATCACAGCTCACAGCAACCTCCAGTTCTTGGGCTCAGGTGATTCTCTTGCCACAGCCTCCTGAGTAGCTGGGACTACAGGCACCTGCCACAAGGCCTGTCTGTTTTTTTTGTTGCAGTTTGGCTGGGGCTGGGTTTGAACCCGCCACTCTCAGTATATGGGGCCAATGCCCTAGTCACTGAGCCACAGGCACTGCCCTCTTATTTCTTTCTTAATATTTTTCTTTAAATCAGTTCACTTTTTTGTTTAAATACATACATTTATTTAAAGAAAAATCTTTATATTGCTTCTGTAAATGGAAAAACAGATTTTCACTGTACCTAAAAGGTATCTGTAACAAAGCAAATACAATGTAACAAAATAATGTTGGAATTGATTGCCTGCTGGAAGTTTGTTGTCTCTTAGTAAAAGGGAAAATCAGCAAGTATTGGGCAGCTGTTGAAAACACACCAGAACTAAATGGAAACTTCCTCCCTGAGAGAAAAGAAAAGGATGGTAAAGGGAATAGCTTTTTGACAAATAGGAGGAAGGTTTATTTCACAAGTCTCTGCTTAAGAAAATACTATTTTTTTTTTTTTTTTTTTAGACAAAGTTTCACTTTGTCACCCTGGTAGAGTGCTGTGGTGTCATTAGAAACCTCAAACTCTTGGGCTCAAGTGCTGCACGTGCCTCAGCCTCCTGAATAGCTGAGACTACAGGCGCCTGCCACAACACTCAGATATTTTTTTAGAGAGGGGGTCTCGCTCTTGCTCAGGCTGGTCTTGAACTTGTGAGCTCAAGCAACCCACCTGCTTCGGCCTCCCAAAGCGCTGGGATTACAGATGTGAGCCACCGCGCCCGGCAGCAAATACCATTCTTGATGATGGATTTCTCTACATACCTTCCTACCTATCTATAAAAATATTATTTTCAGTGCCCTACCAAAAAGAAAAAAGTAGGACCAGATCATGAATGGCAATTCCTGGCATTCATAAAGCCACACTCATGGCAAGCATTGCTGATCGGTTGTCTCCACACAGTGCAGACATTTCTTTCTTTCTTTTTTTTTTGAGACAGGGTCTCACTGTGTTGCCCAGGGTAGAGTGCTGTGGCGTCACAGCTCACCGCAACCTCAAACTCTTGGGCTTAAGCGATTCTCTTGCGTCAGCCTCCCAAGTAGCTGGGGCTACAGGTGCCCGCCACAACACCCGGCTATTTTTTGGTTGTAGTTGTCATTGCTGTTTGGCAGGCCCGGGCTGGGTTCAAACCCACCAGCTCCGGTGTATGTGGCTGGCGCCCTAGCTGCTGAGCCGCAGGTGCTAAGGCCAGGGAGACATTTCTGATTGACCACAGCCCTCCTTCCTGCAGAGCCTGCGTACAGCTTTAGGTTCTGCGGGGCTGTGCTGGAGGCAGCCCCCAGTTGATCTGAGCTGATACCTGGGGACATTTCTGGACCACAGGTTCCTTTCACGAGAAGAGTGAGTGCTTTTGTTTCTCATTCTGATTGTCCAGGCAGGGAAAATGGGCACTGAGATGAGGGAGTCTGGAAAGCTGAGAAGGACCCATGAACAGGCAAGCCCAGGGAACCCAGCTGTTCCCACTGTGCCTGATGAGAGACCCATACTGGCGGGGAGCCGAGTCAGGGGCCACCTTACACCAGCCAGAGATGGAGCCATGGGCCAGAAACCACTGTGTGTTGTGTCCCATGTGGATGAGAGTATGGACCTTGGGATAGGGGACAAAGAGAGAGCAGCTGGCAGGGGTGGAAGGGGTGAAGGAGACATAGGCCCTCCAGGGTCGGATTGCAGGAGGGAGGAGCAGCACCAGCTGGGGGCCGGGCAGACACCAGAGGGGCCTTGTGGAGCCATCAGGTGCAGAGCAGGAAGCAGGAGGTGGCCAGGGCAGGTCTGGGGGATGGGAGCCAAGGGAGGAGAGGTAGGTGGGCCTTCCAGCCTCTCACGTTTCCTCCTTGTTGAACTGGGCCTGTTCCTTCACCTTCCTGATCCCCACACCCCATGTACCTTTCCCTTCCTCTCCCCACTTCCCAGCTCCCCCCGTAAGCAACTTCTAGGGCCCACAATCCCCAAGCAAATTATGGCAGAAACCATAGTCCAGGTCTAGGATGCATTACCCACCACTGTCATCCTTATTACTGATCTCCTGGCTAATTGAGGGGTTGGGGTGTCAAAAAAAACACATTATGTATATAAAAGGGGGCAAGAGAACTAATACTCATGTTCCAGACATTGTGCCAGGTGTTTCCCACAAATCATCTCTTATCACCTGGAATGACCCTACCAAAGAGGTGTCTTGTTCCTCATTTTCCTCATGAGGAAACTGAGGCTCAGGAAGGTTAGAAAATGCAGCTGATGGTTGGGAGAGCCAGGATTCAAACACAGGTGCAGCTGGCTCCAGAAGGTTTGGCACTTTGCAAATACAAGGCTGCATAGGAGAAGATTATACTAACAGAAACAAAAAACTAGCCAAATTCCCAGTAGTCAATTTAGAAAGAAAAACGTAGGGATGCACAATCCATGTCTGTGATTGTGGGAGAAAGTGAAAAGCTCTTTGATTAGCTCTCATGGCGCATCCGTGGGGCTGAGCAGCCAGGAAGCGTGGTTGAAGTTCCTGCTGTCTGCAGGCCAAGATGGTCTTGCCCTTGCCTCCTGCCTCCTCCTTCCTCCCCCTAACTGAATCCCTCCTGCTGCCGCCACCGTCTGGGCTGATCTAGTGTCCCACTGTGCTGGCATTTCACTGGCTGCCCTCATCCCCACCCCTGTAACCCTGTGCCACAGATCCAGCACCATCACCTCTGCTTGGCCTCCTCCTGGGCCTACCTGTCCCTACCACCTGCCTGGCTAATCCTTCCAGCTATACACAACTGCCAGGCTGAGCTTGCTCAGGACCATACATCTGGCCTTGCCATGTGCCTGGCGTGCACCTTCAGCGACTTTCTATTTCCAGAGAATGGCTGAAGTCCTTGGTGTGAATTTCCATGCCTTGGGGAGGTCCCATTTGCTCTTGGGCCTCGGTTGCCCCATCTGTGTATTGGGCAGTCAGATAGGATGAATTCTAAGTGTTC